ATATATATTAAAAATTACTTAATAATCTTTATATATACTTATAAAGGTAATGAAAATTAATCTGGAGCACAAACGACCAATCGTGTGTAGTGAAAGACCGGAAAATTGTATGCATTAAGGATTAAATATTAATTAGTCAATAAATTGGAAGAAATCGAAAAAAAAAATAATAATAGAAGCTTAAAAGAATATATATCCCTTCACTTGAGTTCACATTTTCATTCCCGGATAACTGCACATTGGATCTCTCGCTAGTTATACGTTGCATTTTCTCTCTAGCTGTAGTCTTCGGTGTTTCGCTCTTTAATCTCTTTTTAATTGCTTCTTGTGGATCCATAATCATTCGATTTACGATATGGTTTCTTATCGGCGTCGTCGAATCCGTTACAGATGTTGAGACCGAAGAATTTCTCACGTGTGAGTTGGCAACGTTGTTGCTGTTTCTCAATAGACTTTTGAAAACATTTGTTTCCTTTGTTCTGCTCTGAGATCCTCCTGTATTTTTCAGATTTATCATTGAATGTCGGTTGCCACTCGTCGATTTGCTGTTGAGGTTCAATCGCGCGGTTGACTTTTGCACACGTTCGTTTTCCGGAGTCGATGTAAAGTTTGAAATTACGGGAAACGTGAAAAGGGATGGGAAACGATTCGACGCGGATGAATTGTGAGATATATTTTGCAAGTGTCTGGACGAGTTATTCGTAACACGCGGTACTAAATGTCGAAGTTCTGTCTGCAGCTTCTCGATCTCGTCGAGGCGCATCAGGATATCATCGATGTTATCTTCGGCCATCTCAGGATTTTTATAACGCAACGATTACATCTTGAATTTATTATTTTCTTCCTTCGTTACATTTTAATTTTTCTGAAAATTATCTCAAAACTGAACGCGCGATTTTCAACCTGAAGATCGTTCATATTTTGACATTTAACGTCGATGCGACATTATTATACAAATCGCATCATCGACATTGACATTATTAATTAATAATTATGCTTCCAGTGGTTAGGAGAGAAATAAATTCTGATAGATAATAAAATTATTTGATGTTAAGAATAAAAATTTTTGTAAAATTACATATGAATTTTTATTATTATTATACATATAAAATATTATTTATTACTATATTAATAACTAAAGTATTAAATATTATCAGAGTTTATTTCCTTTTCATAATTAGCAGTTTAAAAGTAGTCGATGGATACACATATTGCGGACACAAATAATGAACTAATTCGCATCACTGATTCATTCATCTGAGAACGCAGAAATTAATATTGATAATATCATCACTGCTGTAACCCAACTAAATATCAGAATCTTTCGATTACGAGAAGAAATCGTCGCATTTAAAAATGAAAACATAATTCATTCAGCTGATGAATAATGACGAATAATAATTTAACAAAGTATGATTAGTAAGAAATTAAGATATTTTTACAACTTTTTTGTAAATAAATTGTTATTACTTAGAATATGTTATAAATATTGGATATATACGAAAAGAATAGTTTTACTGAAATATCTAAAAATTTAGCTACATCTTAAAATACTTTCGTTAAATCATCAAAATAATTACGAACGCTTAAACATTGATAACAATATAATGCTGCAAAAAGTTTTAACATTTTAGTAAGCAGTTTATGTATCTTAACTAATTAATAATTTAAACAACATTAATTATTTTCACCTACATTTATTTGCTGCTATTATAGTTACCTTTTTAGATAATTTAAAATCATTCTTTCCATGAATAAGTATGAAATATACTTTTCTTTAATGCAATCTAATTCATCAAAAAATTAATCCTTAAATTAATCTTCGCTGATTTTGCTGTTATAATGCCGTTATAAATCTACCTTCTATATTGTGAAACTTATATTCAAAATAATAAGAGCAAATTGACTTGCGACTTATATATTTTTGTTACCGATTAATACTTCACGCATGAAAACATTTTGATGTTCCAGTTTAACACCAGCAGGATTTAATCATTCGACAAAAAAGGGAGAAAATCGAATGAGTACACGCTACGAGCCGCAAAGAAATTTTAAGAGGGACGATTCGCCAGGCGGCACTGATTTATCCGCTCGTTTATCATTCGCGAAACGTGCACGGGAAGTAAAAGCGGCGAACGAGGTGGCCGTATTTAAAGAGGATTACCCGCGTGACGATAAATCAATCGAAGATGATGAACGGCCAAATAGATCGCGCGTGTCTGAACCGTCGGGAACGTATCGAAAGTCCATTTCGGACGCCGAAAAATCCAGGAAAGAAACCGATGAGAGACCGGGAGATGCAAGAGACACTAGGGACGCGAGAACTTCACGTGTTGCAAATGAGAAGCTGAGGAAGCTTAACGAGAATCGAAACGAGGTCGTTAGCGAGACGGGCTTTCGTAGTCCTGCAAATGTTTTTACACCCAAAATTAAGAGAAAAAGAATTTCTAGAGGCGTACAATGCGTTTCAATCGGATATCGTAATCATGTAAGTCGATTTCTTTTCAACTGTTTTAAATTGAAATCGAAAAAACACAATCTGAAACGAAAAGCAAAGAGTAAAAAAGCTTCAGCGAATAAATTTGATGTTGAACCACGAATTGAAGTGAATAGATTGCCATGTGCGACAATAATAAGCGACGAATCTCATAACGTGATGAAAGAAAAAGTAAGTGATACAAATACAAAGAAAGACGAATTTGAGAAGATGAATGAGAAGAAAATAGAAAGAATTACTTATGGAAATGGATTATCCGTACAAATGCAAAATATGCATGATGACGAAAAATCGAAAGATGATTTGAAGAATCGCAAAGTGAAAATAAATTTTCTTGAAAAGTTGCGGCTGCGGAGAGCTTTAATACATAAAAATGATTCGAAAGCGCAACAAAACAAATTACGATATGAATCTCAAAATCATAAAGAAGAAATTGTTAAACTAAGTTGCGAAAATAAAAAAGTAAACTGCGCTCGTAAATGCGAAGACAACTCACAAAGTGTAAAAATCGATTGCGAAATGGATTCGAATAATATATGGAAAACCATTATAACTGCTAATGGAGAAAGTAATATAAATAAAATCAAAGAAAGATTGGATTTGTATATTGCCGAATTAAATGGAATAATTGATGATGCTTGTCTGATATTTGGCAATAAGAAAGAAGCAGCAAAGAATTTCTAAAGATATTAACTCGTCAAGTTATTTGTATCGTTTTTGTGGTAAATAAATTAAAATGTGGATAGGATTAATTTTATTAAACTTTAGTAATTCTACCTATATTTTAATTCATCAATTAAAAAGAAATATTGTAACTCTAGTTAGTTGTAGAAATATTGCAACTCTATCAATTGAGCTAATTGTTGACTAAATTAAAGTGGCTAATCCTGGTGAAAATTTTTCTCTCAATTTTTCATATAATTTTTTAGAATTTCTATATAATTTTTCAGAATTTCTCTATAATTTTATAATTTTCTCACATTTTTTATACAAATTGGAACATTTCTCAGAAAATCTACATCTTTTCTCAGAATTTTTCATATATGTTAATTATGAAATATCGCTTTTTAAATAAGATTTTTAAGATTTTTTGTAAGTATAATTTCTGATAAAATGTTAAAAAATCTAAAAAATTAAAAAATACTTTTTAAAAATTATGGGATGAGAAATTTCAGGATATTTCAGAATTCACTTGTATGAAAAATTCTGAGAGAAGATATAAACTTTCTGAATATTTCTGAATATTTCTGAAAAATGTTCCAATTTATATAAAAATTATGAGAAAAATTTTCAGGGAAAGTTTTAATTAATGCGTTGTCTACAACACATGGAGTAAGAAATTGACCAATCACGATTATTCTTCTCATAATTGTGATTGGCTAATTTCTTACTCTTACTTCTTACTCTGTGTGTAGACACATGCCTGTATCTAAAATAGCAGACGATTATACACATATATCACAAACGTGGCGAGTGAATAAAGTGAATTTTTAACACGGCATTCTTTCTGCGAATATGCGCGTTGTTTTTCGCGAAATTTATGAGAACGAGAAAGAGATAGTTTATTTGAGACCAAACGGTAAGGTATTCGTGATCTACTTGATGATAATCATCCTCTACATATCATAGCAGCTACATCTTAACTCTGCGTTGATTTATTGACAGTTGACACCTGTTGTCCAGATGATTTCAGCACAAGTGAAAGAAAATTCGATCTTACCGAATCACAGACTGTTCATTCTCGGATTACGTCTGTCTTCAAACAGATATTTTTGCCGCAAGGATATCCGAACAGTGTGCATCCTGACTACACGGCGTATCAGATATGGGACACGGTGCAGGTTAGCTTAAATCTCCAAATAAACATATTTGACATATGTTTGATTGATACTCTATAATTATGTTATTATAATACAGTATTATTATAATACATTATAATAAGATTTTTCTTTTATTTTCCATTGACAAAGTGATTCATGAAGAAAAAAATTAACATTTTACAGGCTTTTGCCAGTACTATAACAGGTACGCTGACGACTCATTCTATAATGAAAGGGATAGGAGTTGGAGAGTCAAATGCTACACCTTTGGCAGCAGCAATAACGTGGATTTTAAAAAGTGGTACTGGGATGATTGGGAGTATAATGTTTGCATGGTGGAATGGGTAAAGAATAGACAACAACAGATATTCTCTAAAAATATTTGTTACGCAATGCTTAACAAACTACTTGTACTTTTGTTAAGTAATGCTAAACAAGATTTTGCTTTTTTCTATTATAGAACTAAATTAGATGGACAATGTAAAAAGTGGAGGCTATTTGCTGATATTTTGGATGATATAGCTAAAGGAATAGAATTACTTGTACCATATTTCTCCTCATATTCTGTTATAATTTTGTGTATTTCGACCACTATGAAGTCCATTGTCGGTGTTGCTGGTGGAGCTACGAGAACAGCATTGATTCATCATCAGGTATAATTATTCGTGTATATATTACTTTTTTACTAAGATTACTTTCTTATCATAGGCGATACAAAATAATGTGGCAGATGTCTCTGCAAAAGATGGGAGTCAAGAGACTTGTGTAAATCTAATCGCATCATTCTTTGGAATCTTTATATTATCTTTATTCCACGATGGACAGTATGTATTTAATATACTTATCTGATTGTTATTACAAATTCTTTTAATAATGTTGAAGTGATACACATATAGATATGTACTAGAACTGTATCTCTTCCTGGTAGCAGTTCATCTCTATGCAAATTATTCGGCGGTTAAAGCGTTATGTTTAGATACACTCAATGAAGATCGTCTGGCTATAATTGTTAAAAAATACATGATGAACGAGCAGATTCCTGAGCCATGGAAAGTAAATAAGGAAGAATCAGTATTTTTACTTAAAAATCCTAGTAAGATATTAAAATTATTTGATCATTTGTTTTCACTGTATATAAGACAAAATTTCTAATATTTCTAATAGTTTATGGATATTATTTTTAGCCAGAGGCATACATGGTTTTGATATAAAAATTGGTGTATCATTCGCAAATATTTTGAAAAGAAATATAATTTCACTCACAGAAATGGAATTTTTATTAAAATTTTTTGAAAACAGGAAGTATATAATAATGATAGATATTGAAAAAAGGAATATATTTGTAATTCTCAAAAAAGATATACAATCTGTCGAAATATTGGAAGCATACTTTTATGCTTCCATGTGTGCTTTCTATCTTTGTATAGCAAGAAAAATACCAATAGTAAGAAATTAAAGCTATTTTATATTTTTTGTTACTTATGCATATTTTATTGTAATTATACTGTGATATCACACAGGATATGTTATTGAAATCTGAAACATCCGAAATATCATATCCATTGCTGAATACATATGTTCTGCAAAGGATACATACTGTTTCACATTGGGGCATGTCAATAACTTTACAAAGTGTTAGTGCTACAGATGTAACTGTCTCTAATGAGTATAAAACATTCCTTAACAATCTAGAAATACATGGTATGTAATAATTTCATTAAATAAATAATAAATTAAGTACAAATATAAGTACTATTAATAATTCTACTAATAATTCTAGGATGGAAAACGGAAACAAATCTATTAACAATTGGAGCATGGAGACTTTCCATGGATAATAATGGATAATTATTAGACAATTATTTAAATCATATTAGAAATAAATTGTTGAGAGAGAGAGAGAGAGAGAGAGAGAGAAAGAGAGAGAGAGAGAGAAAAGAACAATTATTCTTATAATTGTTCATTATTCTTTAATATTAAAATAATTTTTCTACTCAATAAATTAAAAAATAAAAATAATATATGAGAATAAAGCCACTTTGAAAAATAGATAAGGAAATAATTTTATTTCCAACAATTTATAAAAATATAACACGCCTGTCATACTGTACAAAATATTATGGTCTTGGACTATGATTCCTCCTCCGTTCTAGGTCCAGTCTGTGATAAATGTTTTACTATATCTACCCAATTCCATCCTCGCTGTCTTTCACCTTTGCCATCTGCTTTGTTCCACTGTCTACGCTTCTGGGCTTTACTTAATTGTTCCTTCTTCGGTTTCTTTATCGTTTCCTCGACCTTAGAAGTATTAAGATATCACTTTGCTTGCAATAATTTTTAGTAACAATAAATTATATAATAGAATGAATATACCTGTTGGTTCTCTTCTGTAATTTTCAGCTTACTAGTATGTGAATTTATATTGGCAATTGAGTCGGGTTGCGTGCACACTAAGTCTGCATAATGTTCTTGGACAGATTGAAATAACGTATATGTCATAGCGCTACCTAACCACTGCTCAGCCTCTGCCTCTAAGTGATTCATCACCTTGTCCTTGACCTCTTGCAAACTACATTCCAATTATTCATCAAAGTAATCAAATGAGCAAAAATAGTTGAATGGTTGCTTGGCTGCACTTACATATGTTTGTTATAAAATGTATTCATATTGATAGTTGGTTTCTCTGTAGGATATGTTGCGCCCCATGAAATTTCCAGTAGAAATGACTTCATATCATTATCTTCTCCGTACTACATAAAAAATCACTAATATAAATAATTTATTTCAATTCCAAAACATTTGCCTGACATGCAAATAAGAAACACTTATGAAGTAGTGCAGTATAGCAAACTACTTTTTAATTCCATTTTATGATTAAAAAAGTGTTAATTTTTTCTTCTTTTATAATTATATAATTGAAATGGAACAAACATTATATATTTGAATGAGACTTTGAAGAGATACAAAGAAAAAACTTTGAATAATACTTAAGCTATGAAGTACTTTTGTGTCAAAATAAATTATTAAATACAAATATTCTTTGTATTGTATATTACAATTTACGAATTATTTCATAAAAGTGCTCAATTCTGACAAAGTTACAAAAGAAAAGCTATAAAATAAAAAATATTCTTGCACCTTATATTGAAATATTGTGGGTGTCAGCTGTTTAAAAGCCGGATCGCCGTCGTATATCGAGAGTAATACTTCTCGTTCCTCCTCCTGAAGCTCAGCATCGCTCATCTCCTTTTTCTAGACTAGATTCCGAACGATCGTATCACGCTCAAGTGTCACTGCGTGAATTTTTAGGTTAGAAAATTATTACATTCTTCACAACTATAGACGTAATAAGTACTAATTACGTCCAATTGTCTACGTTTGAGTAAACAATGAAACTTTTGATCAAATTATACATACATATATACTAAAAAGAGATAAAGATGCCACCTCTCTTTGTCATGACACTAGCGCCAGCCAATATTGGGAAATCGTAGGACGAATGAATTACATCCCACAGAACAGAGCATGCGTAAATCACATAATCGACCACGTGACTGATCTTGATATAAATTATATGTGTATATTTTTTATTTTCTCATATTGCTAATAAATTTAAAATACATTAAATATTATATGTTGAATATATAATATTATAATGATATATAATATTATAATTATTATAATCTATATCTATGAATATATATAAAATTTTTAGAGACAATAATAAATTTTATTATATAAACAGTAATTTTGTTTTCTTACAGAGTAGCTATTGGGTTGTCCGGAAAGTTCGTGCCGAATGTTGAAAGAAAATTGAAACGCAGAAAATTTAAATTTTAGTATATATTTATTAAATTATATAGGTTAGTCGGCACGAACTTTCCGGACAACCCAATACTAACAAAGTTAGTAGATACTGCTAGTAGTAAAAGATTCTCTAAAAGATTTTAGAGATTCCTCATTCAAATTCAAGACAAAAATTTCATATGACCAGATATTCGAAATGGATTTAGAATGTGAAATTAGGATGTGAAATTTCCTAAAACGAAGAAAAAAATTTTTTTTTTCTTTAAAATTTTTTAGAATTATTTATAATATAGCCACCATAATATGTATATATATTATATTATAGATTCAAATATATTTATTAGTTTTGAAGTGTTATTTCACTCTTCAAAACTCAAAAATTGAATCAATATAAAAACAAGTTTTATGAATTTTTAATTTGAATTTGTTTAACACGTTTGTCAAGGATTGAATCAGTCTCGGACAGTTTCCTTGCATTAAAATATTATATTTATTGATACATAATTTTATTTCAGAAGTTTAAAGTGTGCGAGATATTTACTCTAGTTGTCATAATTAAAAGGCATTCCATCCATATTTCTAAATAATTAACAGAAAAGATGTCATGAATATTTTTATAAAATTATTCAAAAATTATTCTAATATAATAAAATAATTGGAGCTTATATCCAGTATTTTTAGATATTCAATTGCCTTTTTTAAAAATGAATAAATAAATATATATATAATAAAATATGACTGACTGTGCACTGACTCTATAATATATCGCGATTTATATAATATTACATATTATTTTTGATGAGAAATAATGTTCACTTGTACTATCATAACATTGAGAAATAAGAAGAAAAAGAAATTTTAGGTGGAAAAAGAATGTCTAGAAAAATTTTTTCGGGAAGTTACCTTAGAATTTTGTTATAATGTTATGACGTTTATCTCGTCATTTTCGAAGAAAAAAAAGAATCAGTTCATCAATTTTTTGTACTCGTCTGCACTCTTTTCCCAGGGATATAACGCTTAAAGAAATGAATCGATTCCTAACTTAATATAATTGGATACGGAAAATACGAATACACATTTCGTGCAAAAGAGCAATTTGCGACATATACTTTTTTTCGCTGAGGAATGATAGAAATTTCTCGTACAAGATGGGGGGGTGAAGAGGGAGGAGATAATTTGTCGTTTATATTTTTCTGTATCTCAAATATTTTTTCAGTTATCGTCGAATCATCAGAATAGATTTAGGAGTTCTCTCTCTGTTTTTCTCTCTCTCTCTCTCTCTCTCTCTCTCTCTCTCTCTCTCTCTCGCTCTGTAAATCAACATTATAGAGTGAATCGTTTGATGTTGTACGGACTGTGGCCTTATTAGAGCTGAACGATGAACACCTGGATTAAGCGAATGTTCACAATTCTTATTATTTTGTCTTTATTCTCTCAGATAAATACTAAAGTAAATCTAATCAATTTTATTTCCATTTTTCATTATATAATAGGTATATTTACTATGCATTATAAAATTTCTATGTCATTATAGAATTAATTTCTTTCTTTCTTGATGACATTGACAATGAGAAATGTAAAAATGTTTCTCATATTTCCAAGACAATCTTTAAATAAAATTTATTCAAATAAAATGTATCTATATATATATCTTTACTTAAACGTAAAGCTTAATTTATATTATTAGATTATTAATTAAAATAGATTAATTAAAATTAGAAATTAAAATAAAAATTAAATAGGTCTTTATTTTCTACAATGACTTTACAAGATAAAAGATAGTTTCGAAAGATATCTTTTTAGGCAGTTAAAATTTTTCAGACAGAATTAACGACAGATTTTAAATTTAATTATTTATCTATTATCAGTCCTATTATTGGCGCAATAGTACAATTTTTGAATCGTATAATAATCAACGATAATAAAGTAAGAAATATATAGTAATTTCTGTATACTTGATCAAAATGCATAATACTAAAAAAAATTGTTTTTGTAATAAATTTTTTCTAATTTTTTGCTGATTTCAAAATTAGAAATTAGTGATTATATTTAAAAGAAGAAATATTTTTGAATGTTAATAAAAATATGAAACATTTTTTAATATTTATATAAATGTAAAGATTAAAAAGAATAGCGTTCCGCACATATATGTATTCAATATGACCTAAATATATATTTCCCTTTTTTACAGAAAAATTTAAAACAAAGTAATCTAATATTATTTTTGTAAAATATATATAAGTTTATTAACATATTGACATGTTTATTTGACATATAAGAATACACAAAAAATTATTTTCCAAACAATGATTATCTATTTATCTATTTATTTATTTTTATATTTATTTTTACATTTATTTCTACAATATTTAGTAGATAAATTAGAATCCATAGAATTATTAGAATAACGAAAGTAGATGTTAAAATCGATATGCACACTCAGTGTGTCTATAAATTGATTATATTGATTATATATATTCTACCTTACAAGGAATTTTCTCTTTATAAACGAAACAGATATATTGTGACACAGATATAAACTAAATATGATAGTGTAAAATATGATTCAGAGACTACAATGACATGAACTTTTAAAATTAATAATCATCTTTTTGTAATTATAAGAAATTACTTACCTACAAAATATTACACGACCATGACATTCTGCAATTTGCTTTATTGACAATAACAGAATGAACAAATTAAACAATAAATTGGACGCAATCGAGTTAGACGATCAACTTGCACAAATTACTGCTATTTGTTGAATTAATCGTGTAATTACAAATAACGAATAGAGCGTTTTGAGTACAGGCCTATATATTGTTCCAAGTAACACAGCAGCGCTTACAAAGTGCTAAAAAAACAATTATATACTGTTTTTTAGCGCTTTATTAATGCTTTGTAAGCACTGTGTGTTACTTGGAATGTTTTATTATTTAATATTTTTATTATAAAGTATTTTATTGCGAAATATTCCTTCTCGATGTCATCGCTTATTCGTGTGGAGAAATGATTGTTGATTTATTTTATATTGGATCTACAAAAAAATGGTTATTAATTTTAGTACATGTTATTATAGCTCTAATATATTTTATTCATATTTTACAACATTATATTTAGTTTATATCTTTGTTACAACGTTTCGTATTTGCAAAGGAAAAATTCCTTGTAAGATAAAATCAATATAACTTGATTAATTTTAATTGATTTTACGTCTTTCAGTTTATCTCTTTGTAGGCATAACATGTACATGCTTACCACATTCATTCCCCAAATTCTCGATGTATTCTTACCGTTGGATGAGTCACGTTCACGCGAGCATCCGTTTCGTATAGAATTCTTCATCGATCAAGAAAAATATTTTTATACTATTCGACTTATAATGTATTTCGGTACATGTGTTTTGTACACATTTGGAGTGGTCATTGCCAACGGATCCACATTCGTCGTTTACATGCAGCATGCTAATGGAATGTTTACCATACTAGGGTACTGCCTAATTAAAATGTTTTTACATTATGCTTTTAGCATTTCTTAACGTGAATTTTATATATTTCTTAGTCAATTTTTTAGATATAATTTATTTTTATACACGTTTAATATATAATATATATATATGTA